TTCTGTACCTTATATACTCGTGCTAACTTTGTAATTGGCCACTGTGCTGTTAAGTTATTGCACCTAAATAAACATGAATTGAATTGAATTATTATTATTATTATTATTATTATTATTATGTATTGGGGATTACAATATTAGTAGAAGATACAGATATAACCTCTATGTGGGAACCACTAACCTCCTTGAATATCAGAAGGGAGTTTACTGTACTGGAATTAAGTTATTAAATAATATTTTCTTATAATCAGATATTTGAATCACAGTATAGGAGTGTTTAAACCAGCAGTAAAAGAGAATCTTCTTTCTCATTTATTCTTTTATTAATCCTATAGATCATGGTACAATGATATATTACAAGTCTTTCAGCTAATATACATTATTAAGTTATAACAATCTTAATATAAAAAATTATATAAGATATTCAACATTTTATACATTATCTACTATATACTTCTGTTTATATCAGTAGCCAATATTCGCGAAATCATCATTCAAATAGTCCTCCACTGAGTAATCGCACCTCATAATAAGTAACTTCTTCAGTTCCTGTATGAACTGGTTTTTGTTTTGTATTTCTTTTATGTTGTTAGACAATTTGTTGTAAAAGATACAGCCAGCTACTGAAGGATTACTATTATAAAGTTCTAAGTTGTGCCCGTATATATGATAGTCTTTATTATTTCTTGTGTTATATGTATGTATTTTTTCATTCACTGTGCAGTTACACTTTTTTTTACATATAGGATTGTTTCTTGTATGTATAGCAAGTATACTGTTAGTATCTTTAAATTTCTAAAGCTATCCCTGCATGATTCCAGATGTTTGAGCCCTGCAATGTATCTTACTGCCCTTTTTTGGAGTACAAAAATTCTTCTAATGAGGGTCTTATCACTATGTCCCCATACTATTATTCCATATGATAGATGAGGCTAGATCAATCTGTAATGCAACGTTCTTCTTTCATTTAAATCGAGTATTTTAGATAGCCTGTTAATTATGAATAGGTTATGGCTAATTCTACTGCAGGTTTTTTCAATATGTAATTCCCAACTCAAGGTACTATCTATTACTACCCCAGAAAATTTATGCTTTTTACATTTGATATTTCCCTATTCTTTATTAGTATTTTTAAATTACTTTCCTGCCTCCATTGTTTTGTCTGGAAGAGAATATAGTACAACAGTGAGTTTTAGATGGATTTATAAATAAATTATTTGTCTCAAAGTATTGCTCTACCACTCCTATATTATTTGAAGTCGTGTTTTGGAGCTCATTCATATCTTTTCCTACAATCATTATTGACGTGTCATCAGCATACATTATTGATCTGCCATGTGTTAGATGTGGGATATCGTTTATGTATAAGATGAAGAGTAATGGGCCAAGGACCGATCCCTGGGGAACTCCGTATCTCACAGGGAGGCTACTTGACAAATATTATTTCATGCGATTGCCTTCTGTGTGTGTTACATTTACGTGTTGAGTTCTGTTTCTGAGATAAGATATGATTACACTGATATATTGGGTTTTCGGACTTTATCCATCGTCCTGGTTTTTAAGATAACTAAAAACACGACGTTTCGGAAACTGGATGTGTTTCCATCCTCAGGTGAAGGAAAACACCTATTCTGTTGGGTCTGTTAGAAAGAGCTAGCCTCAATCGTCCAGTGATTTTGTCTTCACTCACAGTACTACTTTATTACATTTACTGCACTTATTATCCACTAGAATGTTTTGCCTGTTGCTGCCATAATCCCGACGAAGATTCCTTATTGTCAGTCTTATCACTTATTCACACACAATGTTAAAAATTGTGCCGTAATGTACACACTAAATGAATAAATATAGGAGAAAAAACAGTATTTACCGCACTTCTAATTCGCCTTTAAGAAACCACACACGGTCACTCGTTACCAGTTCCTTCCACACACTCATAGCAATGCCTATCTTTTCAATCTTTTCAGATATACTTTCAAGCAGATAATTAATCAGAACTTGTACATATATGTATATATGAACACATACACAACACCATCTTATTATTTATAAACACCTCTTCATACCAGGAAACAAATGTACCTTGAATTGCGTATTAACACTTGATGTTGTACACCGAATACCTTCTCTGTATAAGAATATACCTTAATAAAAATTGCAAGGTATAAATAAATGTAAGAAATATTGTGGTGGTTCTTTCAGCTAATTATTTTGGTGTATTCTGTTTTATAAGAGATGTCTGTAAATATGTACTTAGCAGTTACAACTTTGTATTTACATTTATGTTTATATTTGCATTGGAATCAAGTATTGTATTTGTATTATGACGTATTCTGTGTCCATGGCTTAGACTTTGAAGGAGCTATGTAATGTAAATAAACTCTGTTCTCTTCTGTGCTAGTGACGCTATTTAATTCTTTTAGAGGCTGGTTATTAATACTGATTTTCACACAATTTCCTCATTGCAACAAAAATTATCTCGATAGTAGTGATTTATTGGGTGATTTAATGATACTGGTTCAGCTCCTGAAATTCCCATCTGATGATGGGAAGGTAGTCACGAACAATGAATATATAATGATTTGGAAAGAGTCAATCCTGGACTCTTTCAAGGTAACATCCAAGCATTTGTATAGAGAGAGCAAAGGAAAACAGTGAGAACCTCAGTTCGGGTAGCCAGAACTGGCTGAGTTCTGAATAAGGCATGTACTCAAACCAGGTATAGGTTTTTATTGTTACACCAATCTACTTGGTAAGGATGATATGATTTGCACATAACTTGCCATCCATTTGAATGTTTAGACTTACTGGTACATTTATTCTCTCTGTACAGCGGCATGATAAAAAAAAAGAAAAATATTCTGTGGTTGTGGACTGGATTCATCCGGCTCAGGGTAGGGAGCAGTGGTGGGCTCTTCTAGAAATGTTAATGAAGGTTCCATAAAAGGCAGAGAATTTCTTGACTGGCTTAGCAACTCTCAGCTTCTCTAGATGAATTCTCTATGGAATTAGTTTGTGTTTGATATTCCATTAACAGAATGTGCCATTTACTGTACCCCAATAAATGCTTTAAAATGGGACGCTTGCCACTCAGAGGGATACACAAGAATTTTGGGAATTTTGTATAGTTTCTGACTGGATGATTCTTATAGCACAAGTGATGAGCCTAGAGATTGATACAGTATATTCATTTAAGTGATTGGTGTTGTTTCTATTTATTGTTTCTATTCTATTTCTATTGTATACTGTGTTTTTCTTCAGCAAACATTTCCATGGTATGAAATCCTCCTTCAGAATTTGTGTGCGGGTTTTAAGTTTGCCTGCCATTGCAGCGTTGCTAGATTCTGGCTGGCTTCAGTTAGATTCTGCGCTGTAGCAAAGATTCACTTGTGATTAAATTCTGTTATAACCTAATTCAGAGTTTAAAAATGCAGTGCAGAAGCTTACTCCTTGGCCACAATATGTCTGCATGAAACTATGTTGCCACAAAAACAGAAGCCCAGAATATTAGCATTCTCAGTAGTTAACAGAATTTCCTGAAAACAAAGGAGGAATATTTCACTCCATAATTCCAGGTATCTGACAGAAAATTCTTCTATGTTAACAAGTCATCATTCTCTAATTTAACACTAAACACAAATCACCCATTTGGTGTCTAATTTGTATCTGTAACTTACATTTTGATGTTACATGATTCAAACAACTTGTGGAAAGCACATTTTTAGAGCATACCATTGGGACAAGACTGTACTTTTTAAAGGATAATAAAGACATAGCTGGAAGTAAATATAAAAGGGTTATGTGAATATTCATTCTGTTGTTTAAATGTGGTCTTTTTCTACAGCTCTTTTTGATGTGTGGAGGTTGTGTAAACACTTTGTCCATCAACGGCGAACACTTCCTTAAAAAAATGTAAAGCGTGTTACCAAGACAGCACCAAAGGAGTTGTAGTACAAACCCAAATATATAGAGAGGGTTACAACAAAATTTCAACCTCCAGAAATTACACTTGGATCTTAATTATTAATGTCAATCTTATAATTAACTAAAACAGTACTTTTAAAAATGTTTAACGATGCTTCTCTCAGCATAAGCAAAATACAAGGAAACAACTTGTCATATAATTTTTTTTATTGCTAGTGGGGTGGGACTAAGTCCCTTGTACTGTGGCCACTTCTGGCCTATTGTACCAGCCCCAGATGATAGGTGAGGGTGATTGTGGAGCAATTGGTGAAATGAAGATTGGCAGGAGAAACCGAAGTAGTCGGAGAAAACCTGCCCCAGTGCCACTTTGTCCACCACAAATCCCACTTAGCCAGACCCGGGATCAAACTTGGGCCGCCGTGGTGGGAAGCCAGTGACTAACCGCTTGAGCTATGGTGCAGCCTTGTCATATAATTAATACACTTAAAGATATCCAAGTGAGGCTGAAACATGTTGTGATCTAATAAGTGAAGGTAGCGTAGCAGTGAAGAACAGTCGCAGAATCATAAGATGACAATGAAAGTTCCAGGAAAGGACAGAAGTTTAAATATTAAAATAGCCAATTATTGCAAGAGGATAGTTAAATATAATATTATGAATAGTATGTGAATATGTGCAAAAAATTCATGGTCACTAATTACTATTCTTACATCTCCCACGTAATCTGTGTGTGTGTGTGCGTATGTGTGTACACACACATATCTGTTTTCCTCATCCAATCCTCAGTACTGTCCTCATTCCCCCTCTTCATGTACACACTCAAGAAGATATGATAAATCAGAAAGTTGAATCATGGCCTGACCTCTCTTCCTGGCAACCCAATGTAGCCTCCTCTTCCATCCTCTTAACCATTTGGGAAAACCGTTGTCACTTTCTCTTACATTATATTTGCGTTCCAGGTACTGTAGTTACTAACTCAGTTCACCTACTGATTTGCTGATTAGACACATGTGGTTGAGTCCTAACAGCTTGCCTGTCTGCCTGCTTGAGTGCTGTTAGTCAGTAGAGGTCTTACATTGAGCTAGTGCTTACTGTGTCTGTGATACAGGGCAGGTAGCTGTAGGTGTGTGCTTGCCATTGTTTAGGTACCAGTGACATGCATAATGCAGTTTGTTAAATAAGAAGTCTTTGGTAATATTAGGAATTGAATTTGCATTATTAGTTAAATATTTTCTTTAAATTTTTATACTAGATTTTGGAGTATGTGGAATAATGAGAAATTTTCTTCCAAAAGTTCAGGGCTTCTAAAGGGGATACAAATGCAGATGTAACCAAGTATTTTGTGCTGCAGTCAAGTTCAGTAAAATGTCTTATGTGCTCTCTCTCTTCCCATGTATGAAACTATGGGGGGGGGACTGTGGTCACAGTATTACTTACTCATGGAGCTGAGCCCTTGTGGAGGAACCGCCAATTCTGCAGCTACTCAAGAATTTCCCAGCATTGCATGGAACCCGAAGGTTCATTACCATGTTCACAAGAGCCCTCCACTGGTCCCTATCCTGAGCCAGATCAATCCAATCTGTACCATCCCATCCTATCTCTCTAAGATCCGTTTTAATATTGTCCACCCACCTATGCCTTGGTCTTCCCACTGGTCTCTTTCCTTCTGGCTTTCCCACCAATATCCAATACACATTCCTCATCTCCCCCATTCGTGCTACATTCCCTGCCCACCTCATCCTCCTTGACTTGATCATTCTAATTGTACTTGGAGAAGAGTACAAGTTATGAAGCTCCTCATTATGCAGTTTTCTCCAACCTCCTGTCACTTCATCTCTGTTTCGTCCAAATATTTTCCTCAACACCCTGTTCTCAAACACCCTCAGTCTATGTTCCTCCCTTAATGTCAGAGACCAAGTTTCACACCCATACTGAACCACAGGAAAAATTATAGTTTTATATATTCTAATTTTTATGTTTTTGGACAGCAGACAAGAAGACGAAAGATTCTGGACTGAATGGTTCCTGAGTTCAGTCTCCTCTTAATTTCCTCCTGAGTCAGGTTTTGATGTGTTATCGTCCCCAAGTATCTGAACTGTGCCACATTTTCAAAACATCTGTTTCCTGTCTTTAGGTCATGATTTTGTCCTGCATTTTGGTGATGAGGCGGCAACATATACAGTAGAAATTGGTTATAACGTCATCAAAGGGACCTAAAAATAGTGTCGTTATAAACAAATGTCGTTGTAACCAAAATGGGCACTTCCACAGTAGCCTTATGTTAGTCACGTAAAAATCTACCAAAACCGAGTTAAAATGTTGCATTTTTTAGTGAAATACGTAGTTAAGTACAGACTAACGTAACATTAACGTGGAATTGCTATGGATTCTCCATATCGTTTGTACTGTAGAATTCACCAAACCAAATTCGCGGCATACATCAGCTTTTTCCTTCCATTTTCTATTTCACGAATCACTTTAACTTTCTCTNACGTCAGCAAGTACAGAAAGTGAGGGTGGGCAGACACATCGAACTTTCCCACGATATCAGAGAAATTCAGGAATGAAAATGACGTTACATACGAGGTTGATGCATTTGTGCATGTCGTACTAATCAAGGTATAAAAACAGTTGCTTTATGAGGAATTAGTTCGTACCGTTGAATATTTGACGCAATAGATAAGGTGTCGCAGAAACCGATGTTGCTATAACCAAGTTTTACTGTACTTAGTTTTCTCTGTGTTTACTTTTAGGGAAGCTCACTGTAAATAGCGAGTGATTACAGAAGTGAGTTAATAGATGTCTGATAAGAGATGCACAGACTTTTAAAATTTTACTTGTTATTCCATCAGAACCTGATGAGTTTTTTGCTTTGAGGGAATGTAGTGGTCTTATGTCACTTTCAGTGGTTGGAATTGTGTTAATACAAAGGAATTTTTTAGGAAGTGCCTCGTTTAAAAATGATATGGCATCACCTCTCACTTCTTGATGGAAGTTTAGATTTTCAGTAATTTTCAGAAAAGTGTTAAATGCATTAGCCATTACTTCTGGTTCCTTTATTTTTTCATCATTTATAAGAATAGATGGTATCTGTTCAGGCAGATGTAATTTTCATGTTTTAATATATTCCACTTTATTTTTATCCGATTATCCAGTTTTTCAGTAAGCCTACAATAATACTGCCTTTTAGCCTTTTTCATAACTCTCCTCAGGATTTTGCAGTACTTAATGTTATATGCTATGATGTGGGTGTTATTACTGCTCCTGCTACGTTTATATACAGACTCCTTTTATTTTTGCAAGATATTTTTATTACTTATGTAATTCAGTCATTTTGTAGGCTGCCTACACTTTTATTCTGAACAGGAAAATAGCTTCAACGATATTTGGACAAATATATAAAAAAGAGTTAAATTTATAGTTTGTATCCTTATTTTGATAAATACTGTTAATTCAACTTCAAAGCCACAAATAGAACAAATTCTTTCAAGGTCACTCATTGTACAGATTCAATTGTCAGTAGTTAAAGGTAGTCCCAATACTTTTGTACTTCATTTGTATATCAACCAAATAAAAAACAGCAAACAAATTACTTAAATAATAATTTCATTATTTACATTGTACACTTCAGTAAAAAAACTACTGTGAAACACTTCATTCAAAATCAGTGTCATTGAGTAAAGTACAGAAGGTGAATATACTGCAACTTTATTGTTATTTGTGTCCCATGTGACAGTCTTTCATTGACTTAATGTTTTAGAAAATTCAGACATTTAAATTGAAATAATGTTAATACTTAAACAGGAAACAAACTTTCAGAAATGATATTCTCTCAGGAAGATCACCTTTTACTCTAAACACAAAATAGCTCTGAGGAAAGCATTTTGAACTTGGGCTGTAAAAGGCACATATGGCACTTTGAAATTTAGAGCACACACATACCAGTGTTTGTCAATTATATCTATATGCTTACCCCTCTCAACCCTCCTGTTTATTCAGTTCATCCATACCCAGGCAGCGATCATCCATCCTGTGTCAAATCTCATCCATAAGTTCACTATCCCTACTAAGGTCTTTTGTGGTTTACCTAAGTCCCTCCAGGCAAATGCCAGGAAAGTACATCAAATTAGGCCACTAGCAGTTTCTGCTACATCCTTTCCAAATCACTAATCATACTACCATTTCACACTTTACAGTCCTGAGAGTTTTGGTAAATAAGCAATCAGAAAATTAAATTAAATTCTTTTTTACATATCTCCGTAGAGTAAAGTGAGTATTCTGTAATGTGAGTACTAAATTGGGTTGAGATGTTTAAAGAACATAATTTTGCTGACAAAATTTCTCATAATGGGTGGATTGCTATAGCAGTTTATCCTGTGTCATCATGGCTGAAATTGAGGAATCCATGGAGAATGTTGACAACCCCTTTAGTAGTCAAGATTTTTCGGACTCAGATCCTCCATCACCAGAACAGCTACTTGCCATGTTGGAAAAGCTGGCAAGTCTATCCAATGTAGATCAAAAAGAGGTGCTGCAAGAATTGTTCAAGCGAAAGTTACTTCCAGAACAAGCACCAGTAGAACCTGTTCAGCAGCTACTAACTAGCCAGTTTCTTGTTCTTCTGGCTTTGTTTTTTATCATTGCTACAGTGTTTGGTAAGAAATTTGGAATAGTTACTAATGCTAGATGTGTGGTCATGACATTAATTTCCACTTCTTGTAACCTTGTATTTACTGACTGTTACCTCATGTTGTTTGTTTTTGTAAGTGCATTTAGAGAAACATTTTATATTCATTTCTGTCCATGAACCATTGAACCATATACAAGCTTGAAGTATTGTGAAGAGTCACAGGAGCTTGAAATATGGTGTGCACTTCAGCTCTATGACATGCAGTGTTGCGTATTACGTAGGTCGTACTGAAACTCATGAGCAACTTTTTTTTTGCATGCAACCTGGGAACAGCAGACGAAAGAGAGTACGCTGGTAGGTGGAACCAGCTGTTATGTTAACCTTGAGTATCTTGTGACGTCAATAGCTTGCATCACATGACCAGTATCACACCATGATATGTCGTTTCGCCAGCGTGCTGTCATCAAATTTCTTGTGAAAGAGGAAATCCCTGCTGCAGAAATTCACCAGAGACTTCAGCGTGCTTATGAAAGCGTGTGCATGGGTGCAAGCAGTGTTCGAAGATGGGTGAGACATTTTAAAGATGGGAACAACAGCATCGAAGATGAACATTGGAGTGGTCGTCCTCAAACAGCCTCAACTGAATGCGACAAGGAAAGAGTGGATGAGATCATACAAGATGACAGGCATGTGACTGTGGACACAATAGCCCAAAAACTTGGAATAGGGCACAGTGCAGTACAGGAGATGATTGAAAGCTTGGGCTATAGGAAAGTTTGTTCTCGTTGGGTCCCGCAGTTATTGACCGAAGACCACAAAGGTCAGCGAAAGGCCATCACCTCAGAACTGCTGCAGAGATATCGACACGAAGGTAATGATTTTTTGCTCTGTATTGTGACAGGTGACGAAAGCTGGTTTCACCGTTTCAAGCCTGAAATGAAATGGCAGAGTATGGAATGGCACCATTTGCATTCTCCATCAAAAAAGAAGGAAAAGACAGTGCCATCAGCTGCGAAGGTGATGAGCACGGTCTTCTGGGATGCAGAGGGGTTTATTCTGGCCAAATTCCTGGAACCTGGTCAAACCATCAATGCTGCTCGTTATGTCCAGATGCTGCACAAGCTCCGTTGTGCATTGCGCGATAAACGTCCGGGATGAAACATCATCATCCTGCATGACAACGCTCGCCTCACATTGGAAGCAATTGCAAAGATGGGGGGGGGGAGTTCTTCCACACCCCTCCTGTAGCCTTGATCTGGCATCCTCCAGCTATCATCTTTTCAGATTTGTGAAGTATCAGCTGCATGGACAGCCTTTTGAGACAAGGGAGGCAATTCAGAAAGCAGTGCGTCAGTGTCTTCGGATGGCTGGAATGGAATTTTACAGAAGGGGAATTTTCAAACTCCCAGAACGCTGGGAGAAATGTTACATAGAAGTGGCGATTATGTGGAAATNGATTATTTTATTATTTAATGATTTCGTAATAAAAGGGTGAATGGAAAGTGTTATATTACCAATTATATAGTGATTCCGTCATAAGGGTTGGATGGAGAGAGAGTGAGGAGACAGTGAAAGGAAATTCAGTTCTTGTTTTTCTTCTTTGTGGACTATTTTGCAACATAACCACCATCTGGACTATATATCATTAAATTAGAAGACAACTGATTAATTGTAAAGGATTTGGAAAGAAGTGGTACTAGCTACTATCCTTGCATTTACATGAAGGAATTGAGAATAACCACAAAAATGAAACCTCATTTAGAATAGCTGGTGTCGTGACCAAGATTGAAGCCAAATTCCTCCCGTAGATGAGTGTTAGCATTATGCCAACCCACTCATTGAAACCATGCTGTTATTTTCGATTTTCTATACAAACAAAAGAGTGGAAAAAGTACAAGTAATTGGGCTGAACTTCTTAATGACATCCTCATGGTTGAATTTTTTTATGCTCTCTCTCTCTCTCTCTCTATATATATATATATATATATACCCCTTTGGACCTTGGCCACTTTTTCAGTTTCTTAATCCTACACACAGTCAGTAGGACTACTTAGATGGGGGTGAGCCTGTCGCAAGGCTGCTGCCTACACACAGAATAAACACACAGACATCCATGTCTCGAGTGGGATTTGAATCCACGACCCAAGTGTTCGAGCGGGTGAAGACAGTTCGTGCCTTAGACCGAACATCCACTGATCAGTGAACTTTTCTACACAATAACTTTTATCCAGGATGAAATTAATTTATTTGTGTAAGTGCTGTTTTTAAATGTGCTGGTGGATGTAATTAAGAATACCTTTGATATGAAAATTTGGGTCCCGCCTAGATGAGATTTTGTCAGTTTGTTGGAGTTAATCTTAATTTAAAAACTGTACAATCATGAAGCGAGCTTTTGGTATACATGTACTAACTGTTACATAACATACTAATTTGAGATACTGCTTAGGATTCATCAGTAAGAGACTGACATAACAAATCTGTGAACCTACTACAGAAATAGTTGTTGTATGTTTTTTTTATTACTAGTGGGGTGGAACTAAGACCCTTGCACTGTGGCCACTTCTGGCCTATTGTACCAGCCCCAGATGATAAGTGAGGGTGATTGTGGAGCAATTGGTGGAATGAAGATTGGCAGGGGAAACCGACGTACTTGGAGAAAACCTGCCCCAGCGCCACTTTGTCCACCACAAATCCCACTTGACCAGACCTGAGATCAATTGTTGTATGTTACTAAATTTAATTTATGTTGTAATAGTATTCTGAAGAAATTTTATTACTGAGCAAGTAATTCCTGTATTCTGCCATTGTTAACAGCCTAGATATTTTTCTATTGCCTCTGTGGTCTAGTGGTCAGCGTTCCTGGCTACAGATCCAGGGGTGCTGGGTTCGTTTCCCAGATCTAACAGATTTTCTGAGAAGTAGAGGGTCTGGAACAGGGTCTATTCAGCCTCGTGAGTATAATTGAGGTGCTACTTGAATGGAAAAGTAGTGGCTCCCGTCTAGAAAACCGAAATTAACTGCCATGGGGATTTGTTGCGCTGACCATGCGACATCCTCTATGAGCTAAAGTTGGCACTAACTTCGCCGACATGCAGTTGTCACTCAGTCGGTATAGCTCGCTTGCAGACTAAAGCCACAGAGTTTGTTTTTATTAAAACATTTTAAATCTGTGCGGAATTATCTTTTACCCTCAAAGGGGCAGGAAATTTGCTGTAAGTTTCTGTTAGGTAGGGTTAAACATAGGACCCCGCAGTATGCGAGTCAGCCTTCTCACATTTCAGAATGCCATTTTATGGCATGTTGACTCCCATAAATGAATATACTGCTGTTCTGAGGCCCAATAAATGTTAGTGTGTTGATTTTATTCATGTGATCGACACCTCAGAGAGTACAGTGGACAGGCCTTATCGTTGTCTCATGTTCCAGTAATGGCAGGTGTTTGCTTGACAGAGTAATATTAGGAATTAAATGCCCAAGATAACTTGAGTTATATTGAATATGGTTACAGTAAAAGTAAAGAGTTTGTAAACCCTCTATTCCCATAGATAACAACCGGGTATTGCTCTATATTTATCTGGATTTGCCCCTGTAGTCTGAGTAGTCGTTCATTTAATGCCATAGACCACTTAAAAATATATTTCAGGCATAAAATATTTATTATTAAATAGAAATATATTTTATTTCAAATGTGAAATATTTCCCAGGAGACCCTGGGGTCCATCTCTCCTCTCCAATTGGTTCCAGAGGTGCTTTTCATTAAGAGTGATGGCAGTTGGAATGTACAGCTGATTGCACCTTCTTGTAATTTCACATGTAAGAGTCCGTGGAGTGCAAACTGTATTTCATATCTCCCTATACAACTTCATGGCATGAAGATTAGATAAAGAGAGGTAGCTGGTACTATAGACATATTGTCATGTTGCATACCTTCGCTAGGTATGTTATTGGCATAGAATGATCAGACTTACATCATGAATGACTATTGGAATTATTATCAAAGCACCTGTAAATCTGAGATCTAAATACCATAACTGCCAAGATATAATCGCTTTCATAGAGCATATTCTGAAAACTCTCATGTTGTCAGTATCGTCTCTTTGCAGTGACATTAATCTTAATGTAAAATCCAGAATTCTGTATTTTCATCTTATTTCTCGAGTTTTGAGAGGAATCCATAGGGTTTTTAGAATGCCATAATAAGATAAATTGATTTTACTTTTAATATTTTCTATATCTTGGAATGACCACCTCTGTGGTCTAGTGGTCAGAGTTACTGCCTACAGATCCAGAGTTACCGGGTTCGTTTATGGCACTATCAAATTGTCTGAGAAGTAGTGGGTCTGGAATGGGGTCCTCTCAGTCTTGTGAGGATAACTGAGGACCTATTTCAAGGAAATAGCGGTTTCAGTATAGAAAACTGAGATTAGCAGCCATGGGGATCCATTGCCCTGCTTATAATTTGAAAGAGATATGGTCAGAATGAAATATATTTTATTCATACTTCAAATGGCATACAGCATTCTTTGTCAAGTTGTGCTCCTGAAATGCATGTTCCATCATATGAACTATGCCTTGATTGAGCAACATACAACTGTTTTTGAGAAGAGAGGAATTTAGGGACCCAAGATCAAGAATCCAACCTTATAAAAGCTCTGTCCTTGGACCTCTTTAATTGTGATCATTTACATGTTAGTTAAATGGGACCTCGATTGGTGTTTCTGTGAACTTGTTGCAGCTGGCATAGTGCAGACAATGAGGAACTTTTTTTTTATAGAGGGAGCAAGAGAGAGAGAGAGCGAGAGAGAGAGGGACAGTTGTTTTAATACCAAATCAGAGACTTCATCAGTACTCAGAACAGTGTTGATAATGGACTGAAGATGGCAGACCACCTAATAGTCCATATAGTGCCTTTGTGTTTTTTTACTTGTGTGGATTATGTATCTATGCACCATATCTTCAAATAGCCTCTTGAATATTGTTTCAAAGGTCAGATAGAAGTGCATCCTCAGATAGCATTCTGTGATAAAATTATCTCCACAAAAGAAGTAATTGGCAAACGAGAATATCGAGTGTTTTTTTTTTTCTTTTCACACTATCTCTAGTTACAGTATTTCTTTTATTATATCATCTTTGGTCCATTATGTTGTATCTGAGGATCATGTCAGTTTATTGCAGTTAGTGATACTGAAACATCCATTACTGAGAGAATTTCTGTCTTATAAGAAGGCTAACAGTATGGCCAGTGAGGATGTACATGATGTGACAGCAGGAAGCGATGGAAGTAATGATGCTATGAGCAAAAAGGTTCTGGGATTATTGTCCCGCCTTAATGAACATTTGTCGCCAAGCGTTAGATCTCAGTTGACCAATATGGTGAGACAATATAAAGAACTTGATGATTCTGAGAGGAAGGATTTTGATGAAAATGTGAAACAGCAGTTAACGGACCACGTTGCTAATGCTGTCAGGAATCAATATATATCAGAAATGATGAGTAGTATACTTGTAGTGGTTTGTGGTGCTACTGTTTTTCTTCTTTTTGGTATGAATCTTCTTTTTAGTTTCTTTAGTGAATTGATATTTAATGCATACCTAATGAACTTTCACATATTGAGGCTGTAATGAATCATTTCGTTACACTTGACCAGTTTTGTAGGGTTAGGCAGAGTTGGAAATGCTAGTCTAAATTTAACCAGAAAGTACCAAGTTGACCACCCTTGTGAACACGTTTGTGACCCAAATCATGTAATGTAGAATTTTATCCAAAATAAATTGAATAAATCACAAAAGTAGTTCCTAAAATTCACTTGTGAATGTCAATTTTAAAAGGATCCTGATGATGGTGTATTACTGAGTTTTTGAACTTTGATTTTCTTCTGCATTGATATGTCGAGATTTGGTTCCATTTATTTTCCACTTACTCTTCTGTCTTTATTTTATGTCTTCATATGCATTTCAACAATTTTTATTGTAAAGTTATATTGACTTATGTGTCCAGTTATTGGGTATAGCTTTTTCTAATGGATCCCACAGAATAGGTGTTTCCCATCCTTTCACATGAGGGAGGAAGTAGAGCCAGTTTCTGAAACGCGTTTTTCCAGACGCTTGACAGAGTACAAAAACTCAGTACTCCTCAGTAGTGGATAATAATATTGTAGGCACAGTGGCCAACTTTTTATGAAATTCTGTATGAACATCATGCCACTCGAGTACTCCCCATCTCCATACTCTTTCAAGTCCTACCACCAAGGCAGTCATGTGAATTTGTTAGGTGGGAACTGCTCATGCCATTCACTGTACATCAGCATTGTATGTTGAAGTTTTAGATGGTTCTAAGTTTTGAAAAATATACTTTGCTAAGCCTTCAATGCACAAATGTCTTCTAAATAGTACCTAAATATTCAGTTCCTACCTCTCAAGAAACATGGTGAATCTGAACAAGATCTAAGGGTTTGTGACAGTAATACAGTTATTGTGTTTCTGAACATTATTCATAACATAACATAACGTTTTGGAGACTGGCATCTGTCTCCGTGTTTACATGGAACGTACTCAGTGGGCCCAATCAGCAAACTCATCAACTGTGTGTTTTAAATAAAAACAGGACAGTGGACAGTGTCCACAAACACAATAATTATATTCTGAATCTACATTATAAAGACCAACCAGTTAATACTGTTTAGGGAAATAATCACCGTTTATTCAGAGAGTATATATAGTGATACTAGTGGTATCAGCTATTATTAAAACCATTAAGGTCTAATGCTTTGGAACTCAAAAATTCACTGTGCTAATGGGTGTTGCTTTTAATGCTTATTATTTCTTATTGTTCACACTACTAGCTTGGCAGTCCTGAACATTTGAAGTTGTATTTGCATGTATTCAGGTTTAGTTTTCCCAGTTACAGGAAAGTAGGCACTAGGATCAGTAAATAACCTGACAGAAACTTCTCCTACATAATAGTTAGGTCAGCTTGACTTCCGGAAAATACTCCATATAGTTAATTTTTTTAATTGTGGTTTAGAGTGATTTAAATGATTTTTCTTTACTGGGTCACATCCAGCCCAATGTTTTTTTCCCTGTTCACTTTAAATGCAGCTCTTTTCATATTCCCTGATGCAGAATCTACCTGTTAAATGAACATTATGTTATATTGAACACTGCGTGTGATTTTTTGATCACTTATATGTAAATGAACAAGTAATGTTTTAATTTACTTATGCATAATTTCAATTAAAGTGTGTATGATGTGGTCTGAATTTGTAAAGTGTGTATGTTTGTAATTGCCAAATGATAGAAATGGTAAGAAAAGGTATTGACACTATGCAACCTTGCAGATGCAGTGTTGCTAAATAACTTTAATGATAAGTAATACAAAAGAAAATTGTCTGATCATATGCAAGTATTATCTAATGTGATGAAATATGCACTATAAACTTAACATTGCTTGATGCTGCTGCTAACTTCGTTATGACATGTAAGGAATAAAATGATACATTCAGGCATCATGCCTGTAACAGGAGTTACCATAAAAAGGGACTTAGTTTTAGAATTGCCTGAATAAATGGCTTATAATGTTGAAACTTTTGAATTATCATGATGAACAGAATTTATAGAACCTTATTCAGTTTTAGTTTATAACAGATCTCTGTATTAAAAATGTCATTTTTATAATTTATGTTGTTATAAATTAACTATTTTTCCCTCCACATCATTTTTGTAGTCAACGTTATGTTGCATTTTTTTTATCGTCAATTCTAATTTCTCTTTTGGATATGGCTCAGATATGCAAATTTGATGCCATGTTGAGTTCACTACTTGGAGCAGGGTTCTAAAGAACCAGTGCGAGGGAGTTGTTATTCATAATTCTTAATTATAATATAACAAGCTCCTCATTTTTGACCACTGGCAATTAAATTGTAGTGAAGTGGAATACATTCAGTTGGAAGCAAGAACTTGTGAATGTTAATCAGTATGAGAAATTCAGTATATGTATGCTAGAATTATAGGTATTCAATACTAAATGAAAAATGCATGTCAGTATATTGTTCCAATATTGTGTATTTTATAATTCTTGATTCAAAGTGTGATGTAAGAAATATGAAAGTAATTTTTGGTGTGATTTTTTGCTTATTTATTAAAGGTATATTTGTGTGTATTACTGAGTGTATTGAGTATACACATGTCACCAAAGGATTCATTGTTAGAGTGAATATGTGGTTTATCCATATTGATATCCATGCAATAGATATGCGGAGTGCGCCAAAATAATAAGATAAATATTTATATATGGAAGTTTATGCTGCCATGAATGGCATATTGTGAGTGAAATCAATCACATACATGATACTAATTTTTTTCTTTATACTATTGCAGTATTCTTTGGATACAAGCTTTACAAGAGCTTAAAAGAAAAAGAGCGTAAGCGTGATGAGAAGAAGAAACTTCGACAGCAGAAAAAGAAGAAGTAAATTTGACAGTGTGGCACTTGAGAACCAGGAGAAGAAATCGAAAATGGACCTGTACTAAATATAGTGTATTACTGGTTACAGGGATTACTTACAAACTGGTTTATAACTGTACAAAAATGAAAAAGTGACAGAGCTTTATGATGGAAACAAATGTTTGCATTACATGGGAGGGAATGGTTACGGTAATTTTAATATGAGCAGTAAGAAATGTGATAACCAAAACTGTCATTAAACATTAAAGTATTTCAGTTATGACAAGGTCCCACCAATCTTGACACTGTCTTCACAGTTTTTCATATCATATATTTCTGTAGGTTTCTTTGTGGTATCTTGTACATGTTAATACCGTGAAATCGCAAAATATTGGGGATATATTTTTACTGAAGATTGTAAGATAAAAAGTTTCTATGAAGCTCTTTTTTCACTATATCCCTTACCTTTATTTACAGTTAGTTTATTCTTTTTAGTTTCTGAACTTTGAGAAAATAAATGGTAATTAAAACCCATTGAGAGTAATAGTTGTTTCTTTTATGTTATCTTTTAATTTTATCTTGTCTTATGGTTCTAATGATTTGCTGGAATGTTTTTAATGCCAGGGAAATTGCATTTACTAATGTCACCAAACTGCCTAGTACTTAACTGTGTAGAAGTATTCTTCAGTGATATTTTACTATTTCTTATTTTAGTATTATTGAAATTGATCTTGATTTCCTCACAGATGGTTTTAAGGTATGTTTAAATATTATATTATATATTATTTGAAAACTGCAAGTACAGCTTAGAGATCCATTATTGATATTATTTCTTACTGCATATGTTTGTTTAGTCACAGTTTCATTGTGGGTTAGTTGGTTTTCTATTTACTTGCATGGAAGAATATTGAAGCATTTATTAGAGTAAGATAATTCATAGCATAAATACATGGTATTCAAATAGTACATTTACATTTAAAAATAAATATTTTAAGTGTTTTACGAGCTTAGTGAGAATCTTTCTTTACATTTTTTGATAACTTATAAATAATAAATGATATTATTAGGATGTGGTATAGTAGTGAGACTCAGAGATTAGCGCATCATACAGGAGCCTCATAAAGTAATTCTTACACATGTAAGGATAATCTGTAGATTAGAAAATTTTATGATTTACATGTGTGATAGCTTGTATAGACCCAAGCCGAGAAGCATCTTGTTTCACAAGGGCTATTGAAATACATCTATAATTGGAATATTGTCATCATTTTTGTGCCAAATGTAAGCTGATAATTGATAGTGGTTATAATTGTTTATTGATCCTTCCACCCCCACTCAAATGTTAATGTCAACATGGAAAGTTTGAAACTTTTTCTTTGTCAGTGAATTTCAATTCATTCATGGCAAGTACATCTAAACAGTATGTTTTTAAAGTAGTAGTGTATTTACTATTCATTGTGTGAGTCAGGAATATTTTTTATTTTTACAGGTGCCACATTCCATGCAGAATGTGGAATTAGAAGATTTAACATGTTTGCATGTTTGATAGTGAGGTGCAACAAAAGTTGCATATATTTTGGAGAACATATTCACATAGCATGCCATGTTTTTAAAATAGCGGAGAGTAATGGGTAATATTGTTAGTGATGTTTGCAGCAATAGATGTCTGGGGTTTGAGAGTGTGCTATATGTACAAATAAAATAGGCACTCACATTAATCATCATATTGTCACGCGTATGAGTGACTATAGATGGGGTTTGGTTTGGTAATTGGATTTATTGATCACTTGTACACACATCTAATAATTACAAGTAACTATGGCACCATCACTAATCTCCGCACTTTACAAATCCCTAGAGCACATGCTCAGTCTCCTTAGTCTGCTTTTGCTAGTCATTTCATGGTAACGGAACTTAACAATGGATTTTCTTCAGCTTCTGTGCTAATGTCATTGCCCACTGGCTAATACTCCTTACAACTGACTCATTACTCCCAGCTTTTTTCCACTTATAACCCCTTGGCATGAACTGCACAGAAAATACTGTTCTATTGTTGCATGCATGCTTTGGTAATTACCTAGCAGCAGCCGCTGATTAAAGAGTGACTGCTTAACAATGGATCTGCATGCTACATTGCTCCCACTTGAAGGCTGTTCGCCCCGAATAGCCTACAGGCATACTGCCATTTCTTCTTTTCTGTGGTCTGTGCTTGTGACGTCTGTGATCAGCCTCGCCTTCCTTCCCCATGGTTCTGTTTCCATGGTGATTACTCTGCAGCTGCTCCCGCTGCTTCTTCCTTAAGGCCTCTTGTCCCAAGCGGTTCCCTCATAAGGTGCCAGTCAGTCCATGTATACTACCATCATCCTTTTCTGCTTGTTGCCGGCAAAAGATCCAAGAGTGGTCGATGCTCCTACGTCTCTGGCTCTTACTCTGTATGCAGTCTCTTCTTTCCTTTCAAAGAGGGCCAACCCCTCCACAATGTTCTGACACTCATTTTCCTCGGTTTAATAGAGGTCCCGCATATTTGCTTTGCAACCTGCAACTCATGAGTTTGTCCACAGGCCTTGCTTCCCAGACATGGCTACTGTCTTCTGCTTCATCCTCTCATGTCGTCGGTTTACCTCTTCCTCCTTAGATGTAGCTGCTGTCTTGCACCTTGATTCCTCATGCTGTTGTTTTCTCTCGATTTGCCCAACGTCCCTTCGCAAACATCCATCCTTTTGGGGTCCCTTGTGCAGTATTATCCTTGCCTGGTCCCTGACGATCATGTCCCTTGTGCTGTGCAGGGATGGCACAGCGGGTCATCTGTCTGCATACAAACTTCTTCCAGGACCCATTATCGCCCTGGGTCCGTTTCTTCGGCTGTTGGCAGTGTCCTATGGCTAAATGCCATTCCTCCAATGTTCCAACAGTCTCCACTGCAGCCTCTTCATTAGGGACCTCTGATGCTCCATATCAGACTATATCTCTTCCAGATTTGCCTCCAAATCCATGGCCTCCATTTCCTCTAGAATGACACTTACTGTGGGTTTCATTTCTGCTTGTCCAGATTTAATTTCCCCTTTCATCTCTTCTTTGCTAGCCTTAATGTCTTCTTTAAAGTTAGTATCCATTTTTTCTTGAATGGCACCTCTCCTGGCTTGGTGGATATCCATCTGGTAGATGAGAATGCCTTGAAGGGCCTGAAACTTAGACACTTCTGACACCAGTTGTCACATGAGGGAGTAACTAAACACAGGGTTTGGATTAATTACTGAAATTAATGAATGCTTATTACTCATAACTACAATTAGTCATAGCACTTTCACTGTTCAATGGACTCTACACTGACAACAAGAACAATACACTCCAAGTCTTCCCACTGCTGCTTTACATACCTGTTGCTTGGTAATGGCTTCTAACAATGAAAATTCTTTTTGGTGCTCTGTGATCAAAGGCTCCTCTCCTGGCTGGCTGACAACTGTTTGCTAACCACATACTACAGCCCTCCTGGTCTGTGCTGTTGGGTCTTCGCCAGCGCAGTCATTTTTGGTTTCAGGTCTGATCAAGATTGTTGGCCCTCCTTGTATAACTTTGGCACAGACTGCCTGCTTCTTGCTAGAGCGCAGCTTCTGGGTGTGCATCTTTACATGGCCCAGCCAGGCTTGTAGCCCACATTATCCTGAGACCCTATCTTGGATCTCACTGCTTTGGCATTTGGGAGTGGCACCAAACTCACAAGGATCTTGCTGATCAGGACTTTCTTCTTATCGGCTGCAGCGTTGGAAGTTACGGTATAGGATTTCCATGGTGTCCTTATCTTGATGGAGAACTCCATGGATGCTGAATCGCCTATACTGTCTCTTCTGTGGGCACCAAAAGCCATCTCTCTGCCACCACCACCTTTAAATTCATCATTTTCTGTATTTTATCATGGTGTTTGCCTTTCGCCTTCATCATCTTCTCTATCAAACCCATCTGATTCTGTAACTGAGAAAGGTGTTTGTCCCACATCTTTATCTTTATAAAATCCATCACATTCTGAAATTGAGCAAGGTGTCTTTCATTCGCCTTCATCACCTCCTTCACTAATTCCATCTCTCACTGTCCTACAAAACTGCCAGCACCATGGAAGGAGCTCAAGCATCACTGGTGAAAAGAGGGTAATGAAGAGGCTGGAAGGGACAAATACCGGCCAGAAATTCTGCTCGTCTTCTGGTAAGCTCCTCCAGTACATTTCCCAGGATGGCATTGATTTCATTTCATTTGTTGTGTCAAGGGCTTCAACTGGGACTTCTTCAGAGACTGTGATTGGTTGAATGGCTGGGATTTGTTTGAAAGATGGGGTTGGTGTGAAGGCTGGGATTGGTTCAGATGTTGGAAGTGGTTCAGACTCTGGGACTTCTTCGGAGGCTGGGATTGGTTCAGCAACTAGGATTTGTTTCAAGAATGGTGTTGGTGCAAAGGCTGGGATTAGTTTGGATGCCAGAACTGGTTCATACTCTGGGATTGTTTCGAAGGCTGAGACTAGTGCTAAGGCTAGAATTGCTTCAGATGCTGGAACTGATTTGGACGCTGGGATTCAGGAGAACAATTCTGCAGGAAATTCTACAGAAACTATTTACCTTGTGATGATGGATAATATAATCATTCCTCTTATCGCCATTTTTTGTTTATTTTTCTAGACTTGTAGTTAAAGAGATTAGTTATCTCCTCCTTCCTCACATGGTCTTCTTAGTCCATTGTAGTCTTCACTAGCCGTTGCTTGGTAGCAGCTTCCAGTGGTGGACATTCCACTTACTCTGGATTCCCGAATTATCCCTGTGCTTCAGGTACCAACTACTGACAGCAACAGCTTATAACAGACAAACTGCAGCAGTCCTCTGCTAACCAGTTCACTTCACTCCACTGTACTCCACTCAACTGAACTGAACTGAACTAACCCACCAACCAACTACTTCACTTCACTTCACTTCACTTCACTCAACCAAACTCACTTTGCTAATTGTCCTGTTTATAAGATCTCAGCATGG